AAAAGAAGGCCAGCAGGGGAAGGCAGTTGTGGGTGACCAAGCCTGCAGGGAAAGTCAGTTGGGTGGGACCAGGCCTGCAGGGGAGGGCAGTTAGGAGGGACCAGTCCTGCAGGGGAGGGCAGTTGGGGGCAATCGGGCCGGCAGGGGAGCAGTTAGGTGTTGATCAGGCTGGCAGGGGAGTGGTTAGAGGGTGATCAGGCAGGCAGGCAGGCAGGAGAGCGGTTGGGATCCAGCAGTCCCGGATTGTGAGAGGGATGTTCTACTGCCAGTTTAGGCCTGATCCCTGGAGAGGGTGCAGGCTAGGCTGAGGGACACACCCCCCCACACACACCCATGCACAAATTTTGTGCACCGGGCCTCTAGTCCTATATAATAAAAGGCTAATATGCAAATTGTCCCCTCAACCAGGAGTTTGACCGGGAGTTCGACCAGGGTGCAGGGCCAGCCGGCCAACTGCCCGTGGCCCCTCCCCCTGGCCGGCAGGCCCCGATCGGGCAGGCTGGCCGGACCCCACCCATGCACAATTTCATGCACTGGACCTCTAGTATATACATATATATTTAAGTATATAAAAATAAATTTAAATATATGTATGTATTCCATAACAACTAATTGCAGATTTGATTATGTGAACTATAATGCCTGGCATATAGTAGGCACTAATAGATACTGGTTGAATTGCATTTTTGTTATTCTGTCATGAGATAGCCTAACCTCACTGAGGATCACATGGTTTCAAGAGCAAGCAGCAGGGTTGTAAAGATAGTGAGATTGGGGAAATGCATCATTGACAGAGCACTCCTGGGGTATAGGCTTCAGGCAGGCATGATAGCCTTCCTTTCCATGGGGTGGGGGGGGAGTTTAGACTTCCTTCAGTTTCCCTGCCTTGATCATTCTATGCTACCAGATGGTCTTCTGCACACACCTAAGGTCCTTTGACCTGCAACCTAGAAAACCAGTGCTTAATCTGGATGGAGCCTGTCCTCACCTCCCCACCGCTCACCCCAGACCTCTGGTCTCCATCAGCTGTGCGATACTACTTAGCGCACTGTTGATGTAATGCTTCAGCTGCCGCAGGTTTGTACTTTGAATAACATTGAAATCCATAGGATGTGGAGCTGGGGTGATAACATGAATTATGGTTCATTGGCAGAATGTGTTTCCCAAAGATCACGCAGAGTTTGTGGGGTGCAGTTTCTTTAATCTAGCAGCAGGTTGGCTCATCGTTGCTTTCCAGAAACTGTTCACCAGCTTTGACGCGTCAGCCATGGCACCATGGGAACAAGCAGTCCAACATTGCTAAGTAAACTGGCAAGAGAGGGCTGTGTTAAACAGTGTGGCAACGTTTTCATTTAAATGAGAAACGTAGCTGGCAAATGGAACCGAATCTCCAGTTCTTCCTTCCTTTGAGCAGCCACATGCAGAAGGGAGCTGTGAGGAAGAGAAATGGAACAAGAGAGGAAGCCAGGTTAAGGGGATATTTCATCCACTCCAGGTGAGGCTGATGAAGTGCCCTCGTCTCATGGAAAGCACCTCATCTTTCCTAAGTCCGTTTGTTTTTTAACCATTTAAGAGTAGGTGGCATACGTCATGTGTATTTATTCATCAGTGTGTATTTCCTGAGAACAAGAATTGCCTTTATATAAACAGTACAGTGATCAAATTGAGGAAATCAATACAGTATTGCTAGAATATTTTAATCTATAGACCACGTCTGAATTTTGTCAATTTATTTCAATACTGAACTTTATAGCATGTTCTCTCTTCAGTACACGATTCCACTCTGATCACACATTGCATGTAATTACCACTTCTCTTCATTCTCCTCTCACCTGAAACAGCTCTTCAACTTTCCTTTGTTTTTGACATTGATATTGTTGTTTCACAGATGTTCATTTTTATGGAATATTCCTCTATTTGGTCTTGATTGATGTTTCCACATGATTAGATTCAGGTTATGCATCATTACATAAGTGATGCCATGCCCTTCTCAAGGTATTCCATCCATGATGGACATATGATGTCCACCTCCTTCTCACTGACAATTTAATTTTGGTTATATGGTCAAGGTGCAGTCTTTTTTCTCCCTTGTATAGTTACTGGTTTTCCTCTTGTGACTAATACACAATCTATGGGGTCATGTCTACTTTTTATTTATTTACTTATTATTTTTTAAATATAGTTTTATTGATTTCAGAGAGGAAGGGAGAGTGAGATATTATTAAATAATAATATAGAAACATCAATGATGAGAGAGAATCATTGATCGGCTGCCTCCTGCACACCCCCCACTGGGGATCGAGCCAACAACCCAGGTATGTACCCTGACCAAGAGTCTAACCATGACCTCCTGGTTCATAAGTTGAAGCTTAACCACTGAGTCACACCAGCTGGGCCATGTCTTCTTTTTAAACCAGTGTTTGCACCAAATGTCAGGACCAATCTAGAATTAAAATTTTTTTCTAAGTATGTAATAATTCCTGCCATATTTGTGGCAAAAAATATATCCATGTACAACATTGATATGAAATAGAAAGCCAGTAGAATATGATTGGAACTAGATACTCTGGAGTTAGATGGCTTTGGTTTGAATCCCAATCCCCTCACTTTCCTGATGGAAAACTTTGGGGTGTTGCCTCGCTGTGCTCAGTTTTATCATCTATAATAACTGAAAGATAAAAATGCTGTCCTCACATATGGGGTTGTTGCAGGATTAAATGAGCTGATAATATGTGTCTGGCACATAGTCAGCACACAATTAACGTTGGTTTTATATGTAATATATATTTTATATACAATATATACTTTTTCAGGGTAGTAAATAAAATCCAAATAATGAGGTAACATTTTTAGCTACAGGTACTATTCTTCCACTACCAGATCCAAAAATAAACTTAGCCAATATAATTTTCAAAAATCCCTAATGCAAGTGCTTTTACTTTCTTATTCTCTTTCCTTTCTTTCTTTCTTTCTTTCTTTCTTTCTTTCTTTCTTTCTTTCTTTCTTCCTTCCTTCCTTCCTTCCTTTCTTTCTTTCTTCCTTCCTTCCTTCCTTCCTTCCTTCCTTCCTTTCTTTCTTTCTTTCTTTCTTTCTTTCTTTCTTTCTTTCTTTCTTTCTTTCTTTCTTTCTTTCTTTTGTCTCTCTCTCTTTTTCTTTCTTTCTTCCTTTCTTCCTCTTTCTCTCTTTCCCTTCCTTTCTTCCTTCCTTCCTTCCTTCCTTCCTTCCTTCCTTCCTTCCTTCCTTCCTTCCTTCCTTTTCTTTCCTCCCTCCCCCCCTCCCTCTTTCCTTTTCTTTTAGGAAAGCTGGCTGATACCTTTATTGCTTTAAGTTTAGAGGGAGGGGCTCTCTGGAGCTCTTGGTGGGGCGGGCCCTTGCTCTTCACCTTGACCTGCTTCTGGCTGCGCAGGATGGAGCTGGCCCTGCCAATGGCGTCCATGCGCGGATCCCGACGGTGCTTGTTCTTGCGGATCAGGTGCGGGAAGCCGCTCCGCACGGAGGAGGCGGCCGGCTTTCGCTGGCCCATCTTCGCTGCATGATGACTGCCACGCCTTTGCCATCGGGCGCCGGCTCCATGCCCACCATCTTGCGGTGCATCAGCCCGTTGAAAGGAGTTGCGGGCCTTCAGGTTAGTGGGTTTGGTGCTGTATGTCTGCTTGTTTCTCCTAATCAGGCGGGCAGACATGCGGCAGCTCCTCACGCTACGTTTCTTGAACACATTTGTAACAAGCTCCTACAACGTGCCAAGCACAGATGTAGGTATGGGGCCTACCGTGATGAGCCAGACAGCTCTGGTGATGATATCCTAGGACATGGATCAGACACAAGTAGTCTATAAATTAAGACAATTTCAAGTAGAACCCGGTGCCCTGAAGAAAACAGAACAGGCCCTTGCAATAGAGAGAACCTGGGGTGGCGATGGGGGTGACTTGGTCAGGGAAAGCCTTTTGGTGACACATACTTAATGTCTCTTCATTGCTCATCTAACAAAAATTTTTATAGACTTATGACTTGAAATGAAACAAAGTGGACAAATCTTTCCCAGGACATTAAGCTCTCTATAAACAAGATAGCACCACAGTTATGTTTTCACAGAACATGTATCAGTGAAACTGATTTCAAATAGCGATCTTCTTCATTGAAAACCAGCCCCTTTATTGCCCTGGCCGGTGTGGCTCAGTTGGTTGGGCATTATTCCAGGCACCTGAAGGTTGCCCACTCCCTGATAGGGGGCATGCAGGAGGCAGCCAAATGATGTTTCACTCTCACATTGATGTTTCTCTCTCCCTCTCCTTTCCTCTCTAAAAAAAAAAAATTAATATAAATATTTAAACTTTCCTTTAAAAAAAAATCTGCCCCTTTACCATCATCTCTTCTTAATTAAGCTGCTGATGGTATTGAGTACACAGTTCTATTTAGACACTAGTTGCATAGATGCTTCTTTCTTCCCTCATGTATTTTCCATCCTAGCTTTTATGTATGCAAGTTGTCCCTTCAAATATGCTGCATGGTGTCCAAAAGCAACAAGTTGAAACTTACCTCAGAGCACACATCACCAGTCCTTCATTTCTCCAGTCTCTCATTGGCCCCCTCAGTGCTACACTGCTCAGAATTAGTAACATCCCCAGGTTGCTGTTCGTGCCTTCTGAGATCTTACTCAGGGTTTCTCATGTGGCCCCCTTGGACATGAGGAATTCTGGGCTAGACAGTCAGCCAGTCTTTCATTTGTAACTGGGACGTACCACTTATCAGCTGTGTGAATTTGGGAGGGCTGTTAACCTCTCTGAAATGCAGGGTAATTGTGAGGTTTGGATGACATTAAGTGAGATTATGTGTGTGAAAGCCTAATATAGTATTACAGAGAAAGGAGAACTCTCCCTTCTTTTCCCTCTTACTAGTATTTAGTTACTGTAGCTGGTCTAATAAATCGACAGAGACAGACTAACCAGAGATAGTCATCTATGATTATCGAAATTCTTTCAGACAGTTGAGGGAAGGTCAAAGGTTCTTCCTGAATCTTTTGTTTCCTAAAATTAACCAGTTTAAAATCATCAATATCTCAGTATCTAATGAACAAAATAAACTGATGAACAAAATAGATCCAGAGACATAAAAGCATAGAACAGACTTCGGAATCTCAGAGGGAAGTGTGTGTGTGTGGAGGGGGGGGGGGGTGCCAAAGACCGTGTATGCAAAGGACACAGACAATAAGGTGGTGGAAGGCCTGGGACTGGGAGTGGAGGTGGGCTGGAAGAGGTCAGTGGGGGAAAGAAGGAGGCATGTAATACTTTCAACAATAAAGCTGAATTTTAAAAAATAGAAAAAAATTAAATAAAGGCATATTTGGGGGGGGGGGCAAACTCTGCTCCCCTCAGTACCTTGCCTAGAGTTCAGGGGCTCATCAAATGTGAAGTCCTCCTCCCCAACACATACCTCTGGTGACCTGTGCAGAGCTAATGAGTCTCTCCCAGGAGTCCCTGAAACTGGCCCAGCTCCCTTTAGGAGAGAATTTTTATCCTGGGAGGACAGCAAATACCTGGATGATGAGATAGTTTCCAAAACTACCTCAACAGGCTAGTCCAGGATTTTAAACCTGGGAGCCATAGACCCTAAAGCACAGGAACCCTGGCGGTAAGGGTGGGTGGGGGAATTGGAGAAAGCTGGGTGGTGAGAAGCATGAAAAGCAAGCTTTGTCCATTCTGATTTGTGTGATCTGTGTCCTGGTAGACACAGCAGGCATTCTTGTCCTTTCTAGGTCTGCTCCATAAAAGTTCTGCTCCTAGTTTGTTGTTGTTGTTGTTTGAAGATTTTTTTTAAAGAGAGAGGAAGGGAGAGAGAGAGAGAGAGAGAGAGAGAGATCGATGTGAGAGCAAAACATGGATTGGCTGCCTCCTGCATGCCCCCTACCCTGAAACCCAGGCATGTGTCCTGACCTGGAATCAAACCAGCAACCTTTTTGGTGCATTGGATGATGCCCAACCAACTGAGCCACACCACCTTGCTCCTAGTTTTATGGTGTTTTTTTTAAATCCTCACCTGAGGATATTTTTCCATTGATTTCTAGAGAGTAGAAGAGAGGGAGAAAGAGAGAGAGAGAGAGAGAGAGAGAGAGAGAGAGAGAGAGAGAGAAACATCAATGTAAGAGAGATATATTGAATGGTTGCCTCCTGTAAGCGCCCCAACCAGGGCTGGGGATAGAACCTGCAACCGATGTATGTACCCTTGACCAGGAATCAAACCTGAGACCCTTTTATCCATGGACTGACACTCTAATTACGGAGCCAAACTGGCCAGGGCCTGCTCCTAGTTCTTGATGAAGTATTTACACAGCATTGTCATTTAATGCCTAATAGGTTAGAATTTAGTGGTTTTATCATAATTCTTAGTTCACACTTGCATGCCTGCCAGTTGCATACCTTCTAGTAACTAATATTTAGTAAGACATCATAGGATAGGGTGGGAATTTTGCAGTTTTTATGGTAGCTTAAAGCAGTTGCTAGAATGATTTTGTTGTTGTTGTTAAAACTAGATGTTTGGTTCTGATTATAAAAATAACATTTTCAAAACTGGTAAAATTAGAAATGTCATGGAAGAAACATGCAGATCAATAGAGAATTTTTGTAAGTTTTTTTGGTTTTTGAGCCAAACTGATGACATATGCCAGGGAGCGAATTCTCAAATGCTCCAGAGAACAAGTTTTGCAGCTTCTTTTCTGCATCTAAAATTAAGGAGGGATCATACATGAAGGTGGGAGAAAGCAAGGCAGGGGTTGGATTACACTAGGATAGTTGACAAGATTATGTGCTCTCTTGAGGGTTAATTTCCTCTTCAAGGGGTATTACTTCTGGCATTTCAAAAGTGTGTTAACCCACCTTCTCAAGGACAATGGGCAGGGCTGGTTTAAAAGCTTTCCCTAAAGGAATTACAGGTCTGGGGCATGACTACCCACCGTGACCTTCCCAGTTAGGAATTTATGATCAGATCATCCGGTGATGTCACTTTCCATAGGACCTCCTTATTTATCTTCCACAGAACACAAGCAAAGTGATTACAGAGCATTGCAGAGCAGTATTCCAGAACACTCTTTCTGCTTTAGAATCTCCTGCTACTTCATGGGCCTTCCCAAAGTACTACCTCAGAATCCCGAAGGGTGGGACCAGGAATCAACATTTAATGAACTGAAGTCCCATAACTAAGGTTCTGACTATATATTTAATTTTTCTTGCCCTTCAACTACTATTTTTATTCATCCAAAAATATAAAAGCTGTTAAGATTCTGAAAATGTATGTTTTGTAAAGTTTTTATAAAACAATGTGCAAACTTGTAGTGAATACTTTGCCAGATAAAAAGCTTTCTACATACAATAGGGTGAGTGAGTACAAAGTACAAAATAAACATTGATCAACTAGGCTGGTAGGTGCCAATTTACATAAATCTGCAAATAAGCCCCGCCCCCTTTTATGTAGAGACTTGTGGTTTTTCAAGCCCAGAGGGGTGCTTTGAGACTGCTTGCCTTAGCTCTTTCGTTTTGGTTTCAGTTCTCCTGTACACACACCTTGTTTGGATACCTGTGGCAGAGTCCATGCCCCACCCCAGTTCCAGGCATCCGGGTTTTACTGCCCCAGCCCCAGTGTTTGTTTGGGGTCCTGTGGCTTTGAGAGAGGTGTGGCTTCCAGGATAGACTAGCTTATTTATACCTGTAGGTATGGCTTTGTCTCCCTGGATTTAGGACACCATGTATGATGTGTGTGTGTGTGTGTGTGTGTGTGTTTATTACTGACACTATTACACATGTTCCCATTTCACCCCCTCCCTTTGCCCACTTCCACCTACCCCCACACCCCTTCCCTCTGACTATCACCACACTGTTGTTTGTGTCTATGTGCTATGTATGATGTTTTGAGCATCAGGTCTCACTGCTCCAAACTCCCCCTCCCCCGCCCAGTAATTGACTATGTCAGAATTTTTTTCCCCCCCAAGCAAAGTTACATAAAAGAAAGGACTAAGAAAATGGGCTTTGGGGGCAGGAAGATCTGACTTCAAAGTCTGGCCCCACCCTTCCAACCATGTGACCTTAGTTCTCATTTTCTCATATGCAAAACAAGCACAATTTCTAACAGGAGAGCAAGGATTAAATGCCGTAATGTATATAAAGTGCATGGCACACAGTAGTCTTAATAAATGGTGTTATAATTATTACTCTTTCACCTAAACTTTGAGCACCTACTCAAATGTAATCCTGAGAAGGGAGGAAGGATGGGATGTTTGGAACAGAGGAGTGGTGTTTGTTTTGGAGGGGCATGGAGCCAGCCCAATGGTGCTGGTCTCTTGATTGGGATTGGGTGGCCATACCCAGGTCCAGGCTCCTTACCAACGAAGCAATGACTTCCCAGACATTACTGAAGGACACCTAAGGGTTGAAGAGAATAAATCTGAGGATCTAAAGCAAAGCTCTAAGCAATTGTGCCAGATTGAAAATTTTGCTTTCTGCAACATATACACATTTATCTATATATATAAAAGCCTAAGTGACCCAACGACCAAACGACTGAACAAGCAAACAACTGGTTGACCAGTCGCTATGATGTTCATTGACCACCAGGGGCAGATGCTCAACACAGGAGCAGGCACAGCTGGGCTAGGATGAGCAGGAGCTGGGTGATGCCGGCCCAGGCTTGGGCTCCTCCCGGGCCTCCTGCCGCTTCATGCACTACTACATCCCTCAGGGGATG